CATTCCTGGTGGAGATTCTGGTACTTTGTTTTCACGGAGGAGAGAACCCAGGTGGGCTACATGAGACAGGTATCCCCATCCAGCATTCCCTCTAAGCTGAGTTAGTGTGAGCTAGCTCAGTTTTTTTGGCCTCCAGCTCACAGATTTTTGTCTTAGCTCAGAAAGGATGGCTCCAGAGCAAACTAATTTATGCCGTAGCCAAATCACTCGCTCACAATTTTAATGCCAGTAGCTCACAAAGTAGAATTTCTGCTCACAAGACTCCACGGCTTAGAGGGAACATTGTACCCCATCTACATTTATATGGCAAATCGAAACATAAGTGCCTGGAGCCTGCAGGTTAGTGCTGAACTTCTCCATAAAACCACAATGTATGTCCCTCTACAGAGAAGACAGGCTTATGAAGCAACAGCAGCACAGGAAGCCAGGGTCAAAAGTTGATCACAACATGACGAAACAAGAACATTCAAAGGCCAATATAGATGAATGGAGAGAGAAAACACAATATATCCACACATTTATGTATGTGTTGCATGGGATTTGCTTCCCCCACCCCTTCTTGCCACAAAAGTGATCTCCTGAGTAAAAAGTCGACAGCAACATAAAACTTGGGCTGTGTGATTTGGGATACTTACCTGAAATACCGGGTGTTTTTCTATTGTGTGTTATAGCCAAATATGATGTATATGCGCTGGCTGCACAGTCAGCCAGAACCTCTGTGTCTGTGTGGCTGTCCGTCCAATCAGCATTCAGGCAGAGCATACAGCAGATAGGAGCAGGGTTAGCAGAGTATATCCAGGAGAGTCTAATTCTGCTAAGACGTTGGGTTTATCGATCCCAATAAAATTATGCCATATGACAAGCGGGGGACTTGCAAGACAATGCAGGGCCGGCCTGCCTGCCTCCCTCCCCCCCACATTGCTCACAGTACCTTTTCATTAGGCTTGCCAGGTTCCCAGTCAGGACAGGGATCCCCTGCTTTCGTGGGCTCTGGCTCACTGCCAGCCACTTGGCTGGCGGGGGGAACCCCACCCCAAAACCGATGTCCCTGACTGATGTTGGCAATACGCTGAGGTCACTTCCGGAAGTGACATTGTCGTGTCATTGACATTTATTTATTTATATATTTATACTTTCCATTTGTACCCCGCTCACCCCCGAAGGGCTCTGAGCGGCTTACACGGTGCATGGTGCAGAGACCTATGCAGAAACCCTAACTATGGCCACAGTACATCTGGGGTGGCGGGGGGGCCTACCAGGTAGCCTCCCGGCTCCGATCGTTCGTTTATCCGGCGACTTCTTCCAGTTCTCTCCGGTGCGGCTTCCGCGGCCTTCGCAGTTCTTTCGGCTCTCTGGCGACTCCTCTCGGGGGCTGCTGGTTATGGGCCCTAGTGCGCAGCCGCGGTGAACGTCACAACGTCCTTACGGCTCCGGATGGCCACGTCATCAGCTGCTGAGCCAACCGCCTCATTGGGGGTGATGCTCTACTCTTTGGGAACTCTATGGCTTGTAGCCATTCTTACCATAGAATTTTGCCTCAGAAGCAGAGCATCGCCCCAGCGTTGCCGATGCAATGGCATAGCACCGTATGATTGGAAGTTTTATTGTGATTTTAAATGTTTTATTTATTATATACTGTATTGTATTTTGCAATCCCCCTGCTGGCAGGAGGAAGGCACCTGGCAACCCCACTTTACATGGTATGTACAAGTGCAGACAACATTCCTCTGATCGGGGGGGGGGGATTTAAACCACCCTACCTCAAAAAAATTGTTTGCATTTTCTGCAAACCTGGGAGATTGCCAAGTCTGTTCAAAAGCCTCCTACCTCCATACATGGCCCTAACATGTGGCTTTAAGGACCCACAGCTGGAACCATGTTAAGAATTACATATAACAAGCTGGGGACCCATGAGACTCACAGGGGGAGAATCCCCCCCCCCACTTGCTGGGCCATCCACTTGCCAGCCTGCTGCCTCCTTCTGCCTGGCTGATCGGGGGGGGGGAGGGGTGGCAGCTCCCACTGTTTTCATCCATCTGCCCACCTGCAGTGGAAGCTCATGCACCTCCCTGCCACCACCTCCCTGTACCACCACCTCCTCTGCCTGACCAGCTGACACAGTGGCAAGGCGACAATGGTGCTTCCCACACCTTCCCAAACACACAGTGCCATCTCCACCTACCTAGCTCAAGTGGTGGGGGCAGGCAGCTAAGGCGGCAGCCTTCAGAATCAGTTCATCTGGCATTTCTGCTAGATAGTTAGTGGAAGCGCCCAGCCCAAACAGGCAAGGGGGAAGGGGGCCATTCTATCCATCTCACACCTCTTGAGAGGGACAATTGCCCTTGCAAGAGGAGGATGACAGCTATTTCCGCAGCCACGTTTTTTAAAAGCTTATTTGAGATTTCTGTGTGAACCTGGGGCTGACCCAAGTTTGTGCAAACATCTCCTCGTTCTGTACCTGACCCTAATTATCCACACACCGTGGTCCTGGTTCAGAATTAGATACAGGATGCTGTGGTTTTTAGTGATCTCACAGTAACATATGTGGAGTAATACACTTCTAAGCTCACTGACTTCAATGGATTTAGAAGCATGTAACTCTGCTTAGGATGGTACTGCTAAAAACCCAAGCCGCTTATTTTATGTTTCCTCAGTTCTTTGGCTATAGTAATGTCCTGGAGACGAGGCTCCCGGGACTCCTGCAGCCCTCCCCCCCCCGGGGGAGAGCCACGAGGAATCAACCCCCACACTTACCCAGCGCCGAAGTGAGACCCCGCCTGGCTTGACGCCAGCGGGAGGAGGTGGAGGGACGCCCAAAGGAGCGACAAAGAGCTGAGGCAGGCGGTCCGGAGGTGGAGGCGGGCTAGAAGGAGCGAGGAGCCCACGGCCAGCAGCGACGACAGCCATGCCGAGCCATGTCCCCGCCTTCCCCCAAAGGAGCGTGGTGGCGAGCCCGCCGACGGGCAGCTGCGCCACCGACAAAAAGACAGGCCACCGCCCCACCAAGAGGCTCTGCATCTTCCAATAAATATGGGGGCAGGGCTTACAGGGAGGAGGGGGGAGGACGGAGAAGGGAAGGAAGGGGTGGAGGGAGGCAGGTATAAAAGAGGGGCAATGATGGGTCGGGGAGGACTGTCCCCAAGTGACAGGTAGCCACGCTGAGAGAGAGAGATGGCCAGACATCTGGGGAGAGACAGGAACCAAGGGTGTGGTGATGTAACCCCCCTGGACTGTCCACATCTGAGACCCTAGCTGCCTCTGGGGAGTGCCGCCGCAACGGCTGACATCCAGCCCGACCTCGAGGGGGTGTCGATTAGCTCGTGTGACAGCAAGAAAGTATGACTGAATTAAAATTTCCTCAGGAACTGGTGACTATTTGAGTAGCACAAGAAGGACCTGATCTGTGGACAATGCAGGCAAAATACCTGAACACCCACCATTTTTCAAGAGGCCTTTCACCTCTGCTCCTCTGCTGTTTTTGAAAGTGCCTGCCAAGAGATAATACCAATGTATTGAATCTGAAATACTCAGACAATTTCCAAATGGTGGGAAGGGGTTTGGTCACAGGCCGGTAAAATATAGTATTACGGATTCTTGCTCCTCACTCCCTAATGAAAATAACTGCAGAGGAAAATCTCATTTTTCAGTAAAGAAACTAATCACATACTAGCATTAAGACTGATGACACACATCTCCGGAAAAAATTTCTTTCACGTACTCATCCTTTACCTCTGAAGCATTTGGTCCTTTCCCTCCCCTTTTAAATAGCGCTTCTCCTCTGACTTTCTCAACTCCATCCTACACATGACCTCAAAGAGAGGAACTTTATGTACTCACCATGGAATTCATAGCAAAGTGGTTGTGCTGCGTCTGTAAATCAAGGGCATGTTGGTAGCTCACTCCAATTTCAGTGTGACTCTGCAGGAACAATTCTTTGTTGTGGCTAATCCAGTCAAACATCTAGAAAAAAAAGGGGGACAATGTCAGAGCTAGAATCGGGAAGAAAAGCCTGAGCACACTGCACCAATACAAATCTGTACAAAACACACAGACCTGCTTAGAGTCACTAGAAAATTATGTTCCATGTCCAAGGAAATCAGGGCCAGAACATGGCATATGAGGCACTTTGGAGCTTGGAATGGACAGACCAAATTAAAACATCTACCCATGCTGTACTGTCACGTTTTACGTAAGTAGCCCGTTGTCGGGTCAATACGAACTACTCAACCAGGAGAAAATAACAATTTTAGTAAGTTGTTGTAGGGCGCCAGTCAAACTGGGGATCTATCTGACAGCATCTGCATGCCAGCAATAAAGTGAAGCTTATTGCCAGTTTGCGTCCTTCAGATGGCGCCCACAAAATCAGACCTCTAACACCATGGCCGGGAGAATCTGCTTTCCACACCCCTATCTTTTAAAAATGTGTAACATCCAGCCTGATGACACATTCTTGTGAGCTCGCACAAGGTGTTGTGTTAATTTGGCTGTTCCTAATAAAGATATTGGAGCTGTCCCTCAGATGGTGCCTACAAAATCAGACCTCTAACACCATGGCCGGGAGAATCTGCTTTCCACACCCCTATCTTTTAAAAATGTGTAACATCCAGCCTGATGACACATTCTTGTGAGCTTGCACAAGGTGGTGTGTTAATTTGGCTGTTCCTAATAAAGATATTGGAGCTGTGGTGGCTCAAGTGGTTAAGACACTGAACTGCAGGCTGTGGAAGGTCAGTAGTTCAGCCATTCGAGACCCGGGTGCCGCATGACGGAGTGAGCTCCCGTCTCTAGTTCCAGCTCCTGCCAACCTAGCAAGGGAATCTTTACCTTTAATAAAGATATTACATGGATTCTGTTGATATGTGTGTGGTTCTGTCCTGATTCCCATACTGGACTCCTTTACCATTCCAAAAACTCAGAGTATGATGGCTGGTCTTGTCAGCTGACTAGGGAGCGGTGGTCATGTCATCATTGTCTGGCACTCCCACCCACTCTCCTACTTCCTACCCCCACCACAGCAACAGAGGCAGCAGCAGTGGTCCTGGCTGCCACCCACTTTCCC